ACTAAATGATAAAATTGATCTATATGTGTATATGCATACTAGCACATGATGTTAGTAAGCATGGAAGAAGGGAGTAAGCTTGGACTTAATAACATACAAGGGTTTTTGGATGCTTCAACATTTACCAATGCTTCATGAATTTGCATTCTGTCAAATGATGCTTTCTCAAAGTGTGATTCATTTGGAAGTACTAGGTCAAGGCCTATACTTTCTTTGGAATTCTATTTCGTAGAGTCTCTTTTTGGTTCATGCTTATACTTTTTATTAAACTAGGCTGAGCCTAAAGTATTTTGTTAAAGGCTTTGCCTCACATGTACTGTTTATGGTTTATATTTATACAAGTTTTTATCAAAGTCATTCATCATTGAATGAAACAGATTGTGATGTTGCCACATCTTTATTTCTTTTGTCTCTTTCACGATTGAGAACCCAAAGTAAAAAATTAGCTTAACTTGTTTTAGCTACTTTGACATGAGCAGGTTGTTACTTACAAAAAAAAAAAAAAAAGATATGGACAAGATGTTTAATATATTATTCTTAAGGCTCAATCACTGTGCCTATTTGACATTTCTGAAGTTCTTTGAGTTTCAAGTTCGACCGTATTAAAAAAATGAATTGAGTGTCATTCAATTTCTAAATATTCCATCTTAGTCCAAAATTTTGTGCCGCTCGATTTTATATGCTCAAACTCTATTCGTTTATGATATATAAATATACACCGCTCGATTTGATATGCTCAAGCACTATTTCTTTATAATATAAAAATATTTTTTGTGGTGAAGAAATAACAAAAATCACCTTTAGCTTTATAGATAAGATGTAAAATATCACCATTAGTTTAATAGATAAAACGACTTATATCAAATCACCCACGAGATGGGCGGAATTAAGAAGGGGCCTAAAGGCGCCATGGCACACTCAAATTTTCAAAAATCACCATAATATCTCATAAGTTTTAGAAAAAAAATCCTATGTTTCTCCTTAGGTTCTAAAAAACTTTATGCATAGACAATTTACTTAATGTATGTGAAAAGACCAATAAATTGGTATTTAATAGCTAAATGGGGGGGGGGGGGGGGGGTAACACATGGATGAGTGATGGTTTTATAATCGAAAATATTTGGTTGGACGAGTTTGATAAACAAACGAAGTTAAAAAAAAATTAATTTATTTGTAAAACAAAGGAAGTAATATGTTGACTCACCACTTAGTTTATAGCTTAAACTATGTGAAATTATTATTTGTGACGATAAATTATTGTCAAGTAATTATGTGAGATCATAATGTGGAGATGAAAGTATCATGATAAAACCTTAACTTTATTCTTTTGTCTTTTTCTTTTGAAGCTTGATCACCAGACTAAGCAAATAACAAACTTTACCAGTTTGGAGTCAGATAAATAGAACAAATACTTTACATGAAATAATGGTTAAGCATAAAGAAGTCCTCTATGGTACCCATGTATTTCTATATATAGTTTTATTAATTGTTTACGTGCTAGAGCAAACCAAATTGGCACGTAGAGCTCTTTAAAGAAGTGAGTTTAATTAATTTCCAATTTTATTATGCTTTAATTTCATTTCCAGTTGAATAATTAGTTTCCGTCTTTATTTCAGTTGCAAACATATCTAAAAGTTAAATAGCATTCCACATAGTTGTGCATGAAATTTAATTTTTTATATTTTATTTTTATGAACTTTTATGGCGAATGTTTGTCTTAATGCATATAATATGACGTTCTCAAAGTGCTCTCGCTAAATATTTTTTAATTTTGTTGCTTTTACACTCCTGCTCTATAGAATCTAGGTCAGCTCCGTGTACATAATCAAGGTTTTTTGTTGAACCACGTAAATTTCTTGTGTCTTTGTGTATATTAATTATTTCTTATTACGTTATTGTCTATTTTTATACTCAAATCGTCGGTCTTTCATAACAAAATATTTGCATGACTATTTAACCAAAACTTCCCCTATTATTGCGAAGGTAGTTTGTTTTCAACTTTGGGTTAATCTTTTAATTTGACTAGCTCGTCAGAGTTGCATCCCTAGTATTGAGCACCTGTTCATTATACAAACTCAATAAAATGATATTAAAACTCACTAATTTCATGTTGAATTTGTTGGTCCTTTTTAGAATTACTAGACTCAATTATATTGGTCGTTTTGATAGACCTGCTCACCAACCCTTCTAGAGCCCATTATTTGTGAGTGTAGCTCACAAATTTAAACATGATAAAAAAATTCAACAAAAACTTAAATTGAGATTTAATTTTAAGAAGTTGAGTGGCAAAAGAGTGCACATGTTGGACATGTGAAACAAGATGGGCCGACATGAGCTAGGCAAACAAGATACAAATCTTATTTAATAAAGTTTATACATGGCACAAACTCGATACGATGAGAATTTAACTATACATCTATATATATCTATATCTAAGTACTTTAAGATGAAAAACTTTTAACTCTCTATTTTACCCTTATAAAATATTTTAAAGACCACTCTATCATTGCACAATTAAATATCTAAATTATCATCATATCCTTATATATTTAAATCTTCAAATTATTATAACATCTATGTTAATTATATATCCTTTATGTATAAATATTATTTTCTATAAAACTCTTTGATTGACTATATTACTCTTAAAAAAATATACATCATTATATTTTCAATAAATCGTTCAAAAAATTTTCAAAAACTCATGAATATGACATTATTAATCTCATATACAAATATAACATTATACCTACATATGTGTATTTTTTTTTAATCAAAAAGTTTAATCATTTCATTACTAAGATAAAAAAATAATCGAATATATAATTTTTTAAAATCGATTTATGTTACATCAGTATAATTTTTCAATCATAATAAATTTTTTAAGTTGTACTAAGATTGTTTATAAAAAAATATATCGTAGTGCAGTTTGAAGTAAAACTTGAACTTTTTAGAATTTTGTTATGCTTGAAAATATATATTATAGAGTAGTATATTAAATTTTATCTCAATTGACCTATCTAATTCTTAATTACAATAAGGTTCAAATGTGATAAGTATATTAACAAATGAATTTTAAAATTTATTTGATTAGGAATATAATTGAATTTGAATCATAATCAAATGAATTTAAAAAAAATTAATTTCTCAAATATCACTAAAAAATCAATCTCAATACAATAAGGTTCAAATGTGATGATTAGGAAAGATGCATCATCTTCACTTTATTCTTTTGTCTCTTTCTATGTAGGCTTGAAGAAGGTCCATGGATGTTTTTTGGGAAATCAATTTTACTCAAAAAGTGGCACCCCAAACTTCGTCTTGCCAAAGATACGCACTCCAGGATTCTAGTGTGGATCACGCTTTACAACATCCCACTGGAATACTGAAATGAAGAGGGATTAAGTCACATTGCTAGTGCAGTTGGTAAGCCCCTTTATGCTGATTCCCTCACTGCATCCAAGCAAAGGATCACCTATGCCAGATTATGTGTTGAATTAGAAGCAGACAAGGAGGTTATTTAATCTTTTGATCTTAGTATGAAGGGCATCGATGATAATGAGGATGAAGAGGTTATTGAGATTACTGTTGAATATCAGTGGAAATCTAGGATATGCACAGAATGCAAGGTGCACTACAACAAAAAGTTTTTTTTGCGACGATTTTAAATTTGTCGCAACAAGTTTAGTATTAGCGACACTTTTATATTTTTGTCGCAAATTTCTATTTTGTCAAGTTTTTTGCAACGTTTTTTGAAAAATGTCGCGAAAAGGCGATTCCGCCTAATAGTTTTTTGGCAGGAGCAATGGCGGGAATTGTCAATTTTTCACGACAAATATTTTTCGTCGTTATTAGTTTTATATCATCGCTAAAATAAATAATCTAAAATTTAAAGCAAATTATAGTAAATTTTGTAAATAAAAAATTTAAAATTTTTTTAAATTTTTGCGACGTTTTTGGAAAACGTTGCAAATAGTAAAATTTTCATAAATTAAAAAATTAAAAAATTGCAATCTAATTGTTTTTTTCGCGACGTTTTCAAAAAATGTCACCAATAGTAAAATTTTCGTAAATAAAAAAATTAAAAATAACAATTCGCGACACCAATAGTTTTTTTAAATTAAAAATAACAATCTACTTCATTTTTCGCGACGTTTTTTAAAAACGTCGCAAATAGTAAAATTTTTCGTAAATAAAAATTAAAAAATAACAATTTGCGACATTTTTATAAAACGTCGCAAATAGTAAATTTCGAAAATAAAAATTTTAAAAATAGCAATCTAATTTTTTTTTAAAATGACAATCTAATTGTTGTTTTGCGACGTTTTAAAAAAATGTCGCAAATAGTATACTTTTTCGTAAATAAAAAAATTCAAAAATAACAATCTACTTTTTGGTGACGTTTTTTAAAAATGTCGCAAATAGTTAACTTTTTCATAAATAAAAGAATTAAAAAATAACAATCTACTTTTTGTTTCGCGACGGTTTCAAAAAAACGTCGCAACTAGTAAACTTTTTCGTAAATAAAAAAATTTAAAAATAACAATCTACTTTTTGAGCAATGTTATTGTAAAACGTTGCAAATAGTATACTCTTCTTTCCCCCTCTTTTTTTTCCTCCTGCCAACTACGCTATACATATCTCCCCCATCTCTCTCCACCAGTGAGCCCTAGAACACCGCCAACCATCAAACACTGCCGCCAGCGACATCATCCCTCTTGGGCTTAGGTAACCCCCCCTCTCTCTCTCTCCATCCATATATTGTTTCTTCCATTGGTCCAATGGTGACCAAGGTCCAGTCCAGAATTGCCCACCCATTAATATTTCTTCCATTCAACTTCAGCCTCCATCCCTTACTAATTTTCGAATATTTTCTTTGTTGATTTCCCTCCTACCAAATACCCTTTTTCCCTCATTCTCACTTTCCCCCATCTCCCACTATTTGTTTATTTCACTCGACACACAGTACTCTCTCTCCCTCTTTGATTAGGGCTGTGATTATGAGAATGCAGTGGAAGGCAGTGAAGGCGGTCTTCTCTTCTTCTCCAGTCCAGACGATGCACAGGCACAACCAGCAACTCCTCAACTTAGCTCTCGAACTCTCCAGTCCAGACGCACAAGCATTTGATTTCGGTCTGCAAGTCTTCTCTTTTCTTCTCTCTCTCTCTCTCTCTCTCTCACACACAGAGAGCCGGGATTCACGATTCACGAATCTCAGTCCATTCAATCTTTCTTCTTTCCTCTATTTCCCCATCTCTTAGTCTCTCTTCCTGTCTTAATCTGACACACACTCACTCAATTTGCAAGTTACACACTCACATCACACACACCTAATTGACAAATATCAACACATATAAACCTAATTGAATTAAATTTGTAATTTTAATTAGGAATTTAGGATACTACTTTGTCCAAATTATGCTTTAATCAAGTGACTTGAAGAACTACTTTGAACTAGTTAGGTTCGTTGGTTGCTTGTATGAAAACAGTGTCACTTAATCTTTTTATTGTTCATAAATTTTAACTAACTCGTGGTTATTGTGATCTGAATCAACCAACGAAGATGTTACAAAGTTATTAATTTAATGTTATTTTGATAAAGTTAACTTGAAAATTTTCCAGGAGAATTTTTTCAACATATGCAGTAATACTGGAGGTGAGAAATCGACAGTGAAGCCACAAGCCCCGATCAAACTCGAAGCCTTCATCCTCTTTCTCTCATACCATCGAGAAAGAGCAAAGCATGACTATGAACAATTGAAGAAAACTGTTGATGAACTGCGGGCATCTGAGCAGGTTGATGCTGACTACAATTTTCGATTTCGGTCTAATTACATTCTATGTAAAATATTGTTGTTCAACTTCATCAGAATGTCAAGTTGGTAAAAGAGCTGAAAGGAGCCGTGGGTGAATCCACCAAGGATTTTGATTTGTCTAAGAGGTAAAGCAATTCTTTGATTTTCTCACTGTCCAGCATCTCAGTTACCATTAGCATGGTAATCAAGAAACACATGTTTCACAGAATTTGAAATACTATTTGATCTTTTTACCCCTTGTGTAATGGATTGTTAAAATAAATTTTAATCTTTGATTTACATTTCATTATTGAACTTGGGGCTTTTTTAATATGTCTCTTTGTGTTCAATTTTTGTTTTCATGTGAATTTTTTTAACTTGAATGTTACAAAAGCTTAGGTAGGAAGCTCTTTCTCAGGTATATGAATTTTGTTTTCTTATTTTATCATGACAAGATGATGTTCCGCTAAATTGAATTTTGCAAGTTAGTGTTTGATTTGATTGGATTTAATGATACATATTCTTTCTGCATGTCCATTTCTGCTCATCTTTATTTATTGATACATATTCTTTGTGATGGATGCTTCTGCTGTTTATTTATGCTTATGGGACTGGGTGTGCTGCGTGGTGTTCTCTGCTATGCTATGTGACGCTATTCTTTTCTGTGTTCCTATCATGGTGAATCAGATTCAATTGTTCCTTTTCATTATAAGAGGGAAACTCATGTGTACATTTTCATTCAAAAAAAGTTTGTGTAAATTTGAAAGTTCTCTATGGTTTATCAGAATGGGGAAGGGGATGGTGTCTTCTGCTGGTTCTGCGCCTCTTCTACTATTTCTGCTTGGGCTTCTGGTTCTCTTGTGTTTCCTCTGTGTCCATTGGATGCCATTCAAGGCAAAGCTGCTGCATCATCAGGAACAACACCATTGGGAGAGGAGGGGTTATCTTTCCTGGGCGATCCTCTTTGTCTCTCTTCCTGACCTTTGGACTTCGTTGTTCACTTTTCCCGATGCATTCAAGTCAGATGATGCTCCTTCAGCTGGATATTATTGGGTTGCTCCCCTTCCTCTTTTGTCTTTTGTCTCTTGGTTTATCTTAGTTGAGGTTTTCCTTTTTGGGTTGGATGTATTGCACTTTCATTTATGATCTTTCAGTTGCCCCTCCCAGCTGGGGGTCAGCTGGGGGCTCTCTTCTGGAATGCTCCTGGGGATGTTTCTACTGTTTTTGCCTGCCCTCAGCTGCCCCGCATGTTGCTGCCTGCCGTGCCTGGTTCCAACTGACTGTTCAGCTGGTCATTTTGTTGTCCAGCTGGACCCTCAGCTGGTTTTCAGCCGTTTCTCGTCTTCTAAGTTGCTGATGGGTCCTCCTCCCTCCATGAAGATTTCTTATCCCCTTTTTTCTTGTCTTGCAGGATTAAAGCCATTTCTGGCTTGGTCCCCTTTTGTTGCTTGTTGGTTCTTTGCTTCTTGTAATTATTCCTTTCATATATTTCATTGTCTTTTAAAAAAAATATATGGTTCTACATTGTTAACTACTTGCACATTGCACTGTTAAATATTATGTTATTTGTGTTATGTATATGGTCCAGAGTGCCTCAGATAGCAGTTGTTATAGGTGTAGATGTTGCTGATGGTAAAGGATAAGGTACCACTTGTACTAGAAGCATTATAGGTGTAGATTTTACACTCACAAACATAAGTCTCTTGACAGTGGTCCATGTAGGAATTTTTTTTGTTGTATTTACATATGCTATGTTCCTTGGATTTTGATTGCTCTTCGTACAACTATACTATCAAAATTTTGAAGCCTTCTTTGAGGCTTTTGGCAATACAATTTATGCCCCAAGGTTGTGACTTGTGAGCCTTTGCCTCCTTTAGGAAAATTTTTTGTTGCTATAATTGCTCAATTAATCAATTTTACTAATCTTTAAAACAGGTCTGTAGTCATATTTTGTATAAAAGTAGTTCAAAGTATCACTTAAAATGATGCCTTTTTTTATGTGTTTATTTCCTTTAACAGGGTGTGGAAACATGTTGTTGAGCTATACAACATTTGTCACAGTAAAATGGAGGAAATTGTTCCAAAGGGCGTCACGATGAGGTATGCACTAAATATTCAGCATACCTATTCTAGTTTTGAGTCATTATTTTCTAAATCACGTCACTTCAACATTGTCTTATATTTAAACCCCCCCTACAGTATTCTTACTGAATACATTAGTCTTACACTATTCATGCCACTTGGGCTATTTCATCTAATTTCTTGGTTCCAGCTTGGGGTTCTGCGATGCAATGGATTTCTTTGCTGCTGGGGTGGTTTGAAAGCTGCCTGTTTCTGAGGTGCTGATCCTTTTAGCTGGTCCATGTTTTTTGGGATTGAATGATGGTGGCTGCTGCATATTTTGGACCAAGTTTATATGATTTTCTAAAGAGAAATAGATACTGCCCATTTCTTGTGGATCATGTTCGGGAATTTGGACGTCAACTTTTGGAATCTGTAGCATGTATGTGGATTAATCTTGGCCTTGAATTATATCTCGATTTCCATTTTCTTTTCCTTTTCTGATCAATTTTTTGGGATTTTTTTTGGCATGTTCTTTTTGTCCAGGGTGTAGCGACAGATGTATAATTGTGAGATTTCTTGTTTAACATTTTTTTATGATTTGTCATATCCAACAGATATGCATGATTTACAGTTAATTCACACTGACCTAAAGCCTGAAAATATACTGGACTGTGTTTTTTGAATGGGCTTTAGTCTAGACTTGATCCATGTGATTGAGGTATTCTGGTTGCTTGATTTGTATGCTTCCATAAAAAATCGAACAGTAAATAAACTAGGAGGAGGCAGAAAACCTCTGACGAGTAGCATTGATCTCCCGTTGATCATGTTGCCGTAAAAGTCTGATAGAGAAAATCATATCACCTTGATACAATCCTATTAAAGTATGTTCTATCCAACTTTTTAATAGTGTATTTCATTTTTTTCTGTTTTGCCATTTATTCTTGGTTCATGTATTATGTTAGTTTTTTTTTTAAAAAAAAATTAGTTGTGGTAATATATTATCGCTATATGTTTTAGGCTAAGCTTCTGATTACTTCTTGTTCAATGTCAAAGTTTTGTTTAAATTCACAACTGAAATGTCTTTCTTATGTGTCATATCTCAGGTGAACTGTGTTGTAATGCATGGATTCAATGACGATGAAATCTATGATTTCATAGATCCAAGTAAGGCTTGGTACACAACCCATTTCACATGTGAAAGCTGAAATCATACGTTTTTGCATTCATGCTGTGTGGATTGCTAATCATTTGTTGTTGATGCAACAACCTATATTGTACTAGCATCTGCATAGTTCTCTCTTCATGCTTATGTTTGTTTTCTTTGTTGTGATTTTGTGGCATTTTGTGGGCAATCAATAACATAATCTGTAGTCTTTTCTGCATGATTGTAGCGAGTGCATGTCTTATTTCGGCTTGGGATCACTTTCAATTTTTTTTTCTCTTAATTCTCTTCAATTATAGATGACGTATTGGTCAATGATAAGTGATCTACCATTAATAGAAATGAAGGAAATGCAGCAGTAGGGGTAATCATAGAAACAAATAATGAAAAGGTTGTTGAGGTAAGTTGCTCAGTTCTGAAATTGTGATACTGGCTAGCACTGCACTGATTTTTCTCTTAGTTTATCCAAACTACTTTATCAACACTTGTTTCCATTGTAAATGATTCATTTCTCTTTCAATACTTTTATTTTGCTTTTATTAATTTTTCAGAAAGTGTATTCTGCCACTGGATGGATGGTTAGTTTTGCATCAGCATCAGTCCAAGATCCCTATTGCTTGGAGGAGGAAGGTTATGTGTGGTAGTCAGTTTGATTATGTAGATCCTGGACGGATAGTGTTGAGCTTTGACATGATATTTCAATGCATGGAGCTAGACTGTTGGAGCTGTTTAAGTTTAAGAGACATTAAATGTAATTAGAGATGATTTAAATCCTCTTGAAGGATTAAAGTTATTTTTTCTATTTTTAGGACTTTTTGTTCTTTGATTCTTGTAATTCATTCTTTTTGGAAATAAAATTTTATTTTTTTTAGAAAAAGATGTTAAATGTATTAATTATGTTAGTTTTTATTAAACACAGGTATTATTGGTGTATAAGCGAAAAATTTTATTGGAAAAATGATTTCTTTATATAAAATCAAAAAAAAATGAACTTTTTTGCGACGAAATAAAAATCGTCTCCAAAATTGCAGTACCAACCTTTTTTGCGACGAATTTTTTATGTCGCAAATATATTTATTCAATTATTTTTTACATATTTTTAATTAAAAATATTATTTGCGACGATTTTTTTCGTCACTAAAAATTAATTAAATTATTTTTTACTTTTTTTATTAAAATAATATTTACGATGACTTTTTTTATGTCGCAAAAAATTAATTTAATTATTATTTTTTACATTTTTAATTTATTTAAAAATTATTCGCGACGCTTTTTTTACGTCACAAAAAATTAATTAAATTATTATATTAACCATTTTTATTTATGTAAAAATTTATTTGCGACGATTTATTAACGTCGCGAAAAATTATTTTAATTAATATTTTTATTAAAAAAATTTTGGGCGACGATTTATTTACGTCACAAAAAATTAATTAAATTATTATTTTAATATTTTTATGCTGGGAGAATAGGTTTTAGTTACATTTTTTTAACTTTTCACGACGTTTTTTTTTCGTTGCAAGAAATTTTTTTTGCGATAAAAATAAATTTGTGTCACAAAAGACTTTCTGCGACGAAAACGCAATGAAAATAAATCGTCGCAAAAAATATTTTGCGACGATTTCTTTAATTTAGCGACGAAAAAAATCGTCGTAAAAAACGATTTTTGTTGTAGTGGTGTTTGGACATAGTAACTCTAAGTGCCCTATGGGTACAACTAAGAAAGTATGGAAACAAAAGACTCCCTTAGAAAAGGGCAAGGAAATGGTTATTGATCCAGCTATAGCAGAACGGAGTCAAGAGCAGAATCAAGAAAATCTATATAAATGTAGTACAAGCTCAAATGTCCCCCATCTTACATTGCTTGAGTCACCTCAACAGTCTCAAGAGGAGATTCTTGCTCCTACTGGGAATGTGGTAATCCAGTCCTCTCCCACTCTTAAGGCTCCTGTTAACATTGCGACTTGCAAGAAGTTTGCTAGCCTTGTGGTGGACCTTTCTAAGTAGCAGGGGAACGACATGGAGAAATCAGCTTCCCCGGTAAAAAGCATCCTAAGTAGAAAAGTGAAGAACATTGATGGAATTTCAATTGGTACAAATTGAAAGAAGAAACAAAACCAAAAATCTCCAATCCAAGGGAAAGTTGGGGTTCCTAAAGCCCAGGGTCAAGGATTACCTAAACCCAAATGATCAATCTATCTTGCTGGAATATTAGGGGTCTTAACTCCACCCCTAAACAAATGGAGATTAGAAAAATAATTTTTGAATAGCAGCTTGACTTGGTTGGTATAGTCGAAACCAAGGTCAAGGTTGTTAATAAGGATGTTGCCAGGAGAACCATCATCAGAGATTGGTGTTGGTGTGATAATTATAACAGTCACACGCTGGATAGGGTATGGATTGGGTGGAATCCTCAAAGCATCAGTGTACAAAAGTTAGCTGAAATGGACCAAGCTATTCATTGCAAGGTCACTCATCATGCAAGCATGACATCATTTGCTCTTACTATGGTTTATGGTTCTAACGATGATATAGAGTGAAGAAGGCTTTGGGGTGACATGGAGAGTGTATCAAGAACTACTATTAATGATCCCTGGATAATCCTTGGGGACTTTAATATAGTTAGATCAATTGAAGAAATTCTTGGTGGCTCAGCTAGGAGGACTTTGGCCATGGATGAGTTTGAAAAGGTCATTCAAGTAGTTGAAATCACTGACTTGAGATACTCGGGTGTTCAGTTTACTTGGTGTAATAATAGGGGACCAGGTTGTACTGTTAGGAAACTGGACAGAACTATGGTCAATAATGCTTGGATTCTTAGATTCCCAATGGCTGCAATTGAGTTCCTTCCTGTTGGTATTTCTGATCACAGCCCCATTGTGGTTAAATCATGGAATGATTTCAAAGCTAAAAAATGCCCTTTTAAGTTCTTCAATTTCATTGTTGAGAGGGAGGATTTTCTTTTCATTTGGCAAACTCAAGTTAGGGGAACTATTCAATTCCAAGTCAACCAAAAGCTAAAGCTCTTGAAAGTTGAGTTTAAAAAAATCAACAAGGAGAAAGTTGGTGATGTTACTGTCAAGGCTATTGAGGCAAAGGATCAACTTTCAGCTGCCAAAGGCAACTGGTTACCAATCCACTAGACCAATCACTCAGGACTCTTGAAAAAGAATTGGTGGGAAAATGCTTTGAGGCCTTAAAAATCAAGGAAAATTTTTTGAGACAGAAGTCCAGAATCCAATGGTTAGATGTAGGTGACAAAAACTCCTTATTCTTCTTCAAATCCATCTCAAGCAGAAGGAACAATTCCAAGATTATCACCATACAAAGACAGGATGGGTCTTTTGCTAAAAGCGATAAGGAAATTAAAGATGAGGCAGTGAATTTTTTTCAAAACTTGATGGGTAGGAGAAGCTCTTAGGATCCTTGCGGAGCTTCTACTATACGGAATATTTTGCAAAGCACCATTTCAAGGGAGCAAGCTCTGATTCTTAGCAATGAAGTTACTAGGGCTGAAATTAAAGAAGTTTGCTTCTCTCTCAATCCCAATAAAACTCAGGTCCTGATGGGTTCAATGGGCTATTCTTCCAAAAGGCATGGTCTATCATTGGTGATGACATTGTTGCTGCTGTTAAAGAATTTTTTGCCACAGTTCAGCTTCTTAAGGAACTAAATGCTACTATTTTTGCTTTTGTTCCGAAAGTCCCAAACCCCACAAGCATGTCTGATTTTAGACCTATCTTATGTTGTAATACCCTATATAAGGTAATCTCCAAAATTATTGCAAATAGGCTTAAAATCCTTCTTCCCCATGTGATCAACCCATCTCAAAATGCCTTTATAAAGGGTAGAAGAATTGGAGACAATATTCTCCTTGCCCAGGAACTGCTTAAGAACTATCATAAGAATGATGGGGCCCCCAAATGTGCTATCAAGGTTGATTTAATGAAGGCTTTTGACATGGTTGACTGAGATTTCTTGCTTGATGTGCTAGCTGCTCTTAATCTTCCTAGAATTGTGGTCAAATGAATTAGAGAATGCATTACTACTCCTAAGTTTTCTACCAATATTAATGGGGAATTGGCAGGGTACTTCCCAAGCGGTAGAGGTCTTAGACAAGGAGACCCAATGTCTCCTTATTTATTTGTCATTATGATGGATGTGCTGTCAAGAATTCTTGAGCAAGGCATTCAAGATGAGCCTTAGATTAAATATCATTGGAGATGCAAAAGACAAAAGATTTCCCAACTTTGCTTTGCTGATGACTTAATCATGTTATGCCATGGGGACCCCAAATCAGTTGAAGTTCTTAAAAAGGCGCTTGATAAATTCCAAATGTTATCTGGTTTAAAGGCCAATCCTTCCAAAAGCCACATCTTCTCTTTCAGGTGTTCTTGATGAGCAACAATAGTTGATGGCTAGGTGTTTCGGTTTTTCCATTGGTTGTCTGCCTTTGAATGATCTTGGGATCCCTATTATTACCACTAAGCTTAAGTTGCAAGACTGTTGTTTGTTACTTGAGAAAGTGGATTCAAGGATTAATTCGTGGGTTAATAGAGCTCTGTCTTATGCTGGAAGACTTCAGCTCATTAAATCTGTGTTATGTAGCATCCAGGTGTATTAGGCTAGTCATCTTATGCATCCTAAGAAGGTCCTCCATGCAATTGATTAGAAGCTCAGATCTTTCTTATGGTCTAGAACTGAAATGAAAACAAAGGCTGCCAAAGTTGCTTGGAGTGAGGTTTGTGCACCCATAAAGGAAGGGGGACTTAGGATTGAAAGATTTAAGGGCTTGGAATAAAGCCCTCGTGCTCAAGCATCTCTGGCACTTAATTTATGACGAGAATAACACTTGGACCAACTGGATCAAGGACCACCATCTTAGAGGCAAGAGCATTTGGGAAGCCAAACCATCACAAGTCTGCGGAACTAGAGAAAGCTACTACAAGTTAGGGAATTAGCAAGACTTTTCATTCTTTATGTTATTGGAAATGGTAGGAGTATATCTCTCTGGCATGATTTTTGGCATCCTAACGGTCCTTTCCTTCTTAAATGGGGTCCTATAGTGATTTATGATTCTGGGATCCCTAAGAATGCCAAGGTTGCCTCCATTATCCAAGGTAACCAGTGGAGGTGGCCTCCAGTAAATCCTAGAAACTCCAGAGTTATTGAGGAGATCATCTCAACTATGCCCAATTACTCCCCAACAATGGATACAAAGGATGAGTTCAAATGGCTTTCCCGAGTAAATGGAAAATTCTCAACTTCTTCAGCTTGGAATCTAATCAAGACCACCAAACCAGAGGTGCTGTGGTACCATCTTATTTGGTTCAATCTCTGCGTTCCTAGATCCAGCTTTATCCTTTGGCTTGCTATTAGGTGTAGGCTGGCCACAAAGGACAGAATCCTTAGTTTTACACCCAATAGTGGAACTACCTGTGTGCTTTGTAGAGCTGATCAAGAATCTCACTCTCACCTTTTCTTTGAATGCTCTTACTCAAAGAGTGTTTGGAGGAATGTCATCAGTAAGTGAGATTGGCCATGGCGTTCTTCTTCTTGGCAGAGTCTCATTGAGGCTATGTCCACCCAATGGAAAGACAAGAATATGTAGAATTCCATTAGGAAACTTTGCCTTGCTGTCGCTGTCTATGTCTTACGGGGTGAAAGAAATCATAGAATTTTCACCAATGAGTATAAAGATTCAGGTATTCCCCAATTAACTGTCTTGAATATGGTGAGAAGTAGGCTCCTCTCAGTCAAAATCAAGGACACTCCTCTTCACAGACTGGGCAGCTTCTCCTTGGCAACTTCCAGGCTCTTGTTTTTGCACATGATGTATTTTTTGTACGCTTTTTACAGGCTGCGTAGTCTGTGGGGAGTGCAAAATGCAGCCCTCCCAGACTTCCTCTGCCTGCTTTTGATGGAATGACTGCAGGTTGTTACTGTCTTCTCCTTGTTTCTTTGTTTTGGTCTTTTCCCTTAGGGATTGGATGCAGCTCTGAACATTTGTTTTTTTATCAATACAACTTCCTGTTTACTTACCCAAAAAAAAAACTTTACCTGTTGTAATCATACCAACGGGCTTTTGGTGAAGGCTATACTTTCTAATATGTTTTTTCATGCTTGTAAATGTATTTGTATAAAATGGTGAAATTTTTTTCGGTAATCATTTATCACCTCTAATGCGAAATCTTGACTCCACCCTTGAGCATAAAGAAGTCTGTTAACACGTCAATCTACCTGACAATGGCTTCGAGGGACTATAGGTTGCGAAAGTATGCACTACATCACTTTGGGTTTTTTTTTTCTTTTAATTGCCAACTAATCATGAAGGAATAATGTGTTGATTGTGCCTTCTTTCTTCTCTAAAATGTCACCAGGTACCAGAAAAAGAATGGACAAATATACCCATATTCCATTGGTACATTCCATTAAGAAGAATATACTTGCTTTACCTTCCTATATCGCCCGAATGCTGTATCTATAGAGTTCCAAGACGAATTCGAGAACGGAACCCAAAAGCCTATACACCCCAAATAGTTTCTGTTGGCACACTACACCATGCAGAAAAGGAGTTGGTAGGCAGGCAAGAGTTCAAATTCAGGTGCTTGAAAGCATTCCTTGGTCGTACTCACATCACTTTGGATGATTGTGTAAGCATGATAAAAGAGTTGGAACTGGGAGTTCGCAACTGTTAAGCAGAAAGATTTGACAAGCTTAACAGTGATAGCTTTGTGAACATGATCCTTTTGGATTGTTGTTTCATCATTGAGGTGTTTTTGAATATTGGATATGCTGATGATCAAGTGGTAGAACTAGAAGGCGTAATATTACTTGACCATCTAAGTGATCAACGGGTGATTACTCAAGTGGGATCAGACATAATATTACTTGAAAATCAGCTTCCATTCTTTATAATAGAGGGTGTATTCAACCTAGCATTCCATTCAAACCCAGACCACCACCTGCCCTCTTTCCGCCAGCTTTCCATGTTTTGCATCCGAGCCTTCGTTCCGATTGAGGACATTGCACTGGATACATCAAATACTGAAGTGAAGCATTTTGTTGATTTGCTAGGGTATGGTTCTTACCGTCAAGTCCACGGTCATTGGATTGGGAAGAAGATTTTTTATTTTTCAGAGATGCCACAAGCAACGGAGATGCAAGAGGCAGGAATGATTATGAGTGCATCATCAAACCATCGTTTACTTGACATAACATATACAAATGGAGTGTTACAAGTCCCTAGATTAATTGTAGAAGACGTGACCGAAGTTTTATATAGAAACCTTGTTGCTTTGGAGGTATGCCATTATTATCCTGATACTTACATAATTGATTATCTTGTTTTCATGGATAGGCTTATTGACTCTGCTCAAGATGTGGAGTTACTTATCAAGAGTGGAGTTCTTTATAGCGTAGTAGACGACAGCTCTGCAGTGGCAACTCTCTTCAATAACCTTTGCACTGGTGCTACATGTGGACCATACTATTATCGTGACATATGTAAGGACATGAATAAATATTGCAACGTCCCACGACATAAATGGAAGGCAACTCTGAAACCGTGATTATTTCAGTACTCCGTGGAGAACTGCTTCCACTGTTGCTGTAGTTGTATTGCTTGTGCTTACCTTTATTCAAACCATCAAGGCTTTTTTCTGACAAAAAAAAAACAGCAAAACCTTTTAATTCTCCAATGAGTAAGCTATACTTGTTTGTAAGTTTTCGTCTAAATACTCTGTACTCATCGTATTTGTACTTTTGAACATTCAATGGGTATCATGGTTTGTAGTTTCATTGCCTTTTGACATATGGTTTACTTAAATTAATGTCTTCAATTGGCAAGCTGAAGAAAAGGATGTAATGCCAAGTAAATTAGAGACCTGCTTGCTGCTCAGGTTTGAATGATTATAGAATCGAAATTATTTAACTTTCGATGAAATATGTGTGTCGTGTGTATATATATAGTAGCGTAGTAATGAAAACTCTGCACCACAATCTCTGGTGGAAATTTTTCACGTGAATAGTTAGATTACAATCCAAGGGTCATGAAGTTGTCATGGAAACTATGCACTAAGCTGTCGTGGAAACTAAGCGCCGTACCCTTTGGCAAGTTCTTTTTATGTGAGCCGATAAAGCATGCTCTAACGGTCACCACCAAAAATGTGTGGAATTAAATGGTAAAATTTACCAAATTTGTTTATTGACTAATAGGAAATTTGAATCTCATATTAATTGTAATTCTAATCTTATTTGGAAAGTACATTAAAATTTTTAATTAATGGTTTAAAATTAAGATTTTTTTTACTCTTTTCAAATATTGGCAAATAGATCAAACTAGTGACTTGAATCAATTTATACCTGTCTTTGTAATTCTTCTAGTTTATTATACCAATTTAAATTATAGATCTAATCTCACTACACTTTTAATCCCAAAAATTTTAAATTTGTAGGTTTTCAAAAAAAAAAAAAAAAATTCAAGGTCCATTAATGGACAGTCGAAGGAGCAGTGTTGACTGAAAACTGACCTTAAACGTCAAGGGTTTTGTCATAATTTCTAAAATCTTAGGAGGTTTTCCAGAACTAAGCTTTCACTATGGATACAGTTTGAATAAGTTATCAGAATTAAAATTCTGGTTAGTCAAATATTCTTTCCAATTGGGTTTTGCCAAGTATTTTAAAATTTGGAGTAAAAAATATTTTATGAATTTATTAACTCATAAATAAATTAAGGACAATTTATTCCTTCTTAGTGAATCATTTATCATGATTCAAGTATGACTCATTGTATACAAGTGAGTTTCTCACTTATTATTGATAGATGATGCGCCAAGAATAGAATTAAAATAAAAAATATTAGTGGAGCTCTATAAGTGATGAATAAGTTGTGTGTGTGTGTGTTTGGAGGAAGGGGGGGGGGGGGGGAGAATACCAGAATACAAGGAAATAAATAATCTATTAAACTGAAGAGTTAGGTTAGTCCACTGTAATGGAGGTTCTTGCTCCTCTTGTAATAGCCAAGTATAAAAAAAAAAAAATAATAATTACAATAATAATAATAAAGGGAATAAATTGGATTTAATAAGTTTTAGACTTTTGTTTGACTTGGATTCTATCTTTATGGGCTTATGGATATGCTTTGAAAATCAATAGAGTTAATTTAGCTTTTTGGGTGTAGGGGAAAATTTCAAATAATTATACAAACCTATTATGACTATAATACATGTGGTTTAAATAAGATAGTATCATTTGATAGGTCAAACCCTTTATATATATATATATATATATATATATATTTTTAGGTTTGTAGGGTTTTTATTGGTGAGAAAGCTTGTGGAGGGGCAGTCCCGTGAACAAAGAAGAAAAGAGGGAGAAAGACAGAGAAAGAAGGAAGAAGGAGGAGGAAAGAAAGAAAGGACTTGACTCCATTAAAAGTATAAATTTATTATTTAATTTATGGGTTTGGTATTTTATTCAATCAAAGTGTTAGGTTTATCATAAGTAGTAATATATATATATATATATATATATATATATATATTAGTCATTATCCGTGCTTGAAGGCACTATATAACAAACAAAATTTTTTTACACAATTGCCCAAATTCAAAAAGAATGGTCTAAAAATTTTCATATCAATTCTTCTTTTAAAATGAATTGAAATATATCGCCGATCATATTCTCCATATTAATAAAACTGTCGTAAAAATATATAAAAATCTTCAAAACAATACCACATATACAAATGCCTCAAAAAAATAAAAATACTAACTTAATTCATTGAAATTTATAATCTTTAAGTAATAAATAAAATTTTGCTCATTTATAAGACTCATGAATTTATCACCTTTACCACCAATCAATCTAATAACAATATAAAATTATAAACACAATCATCATATTTTCAATCCACCTTATCCCCATGTAATAAATATCTCAAACAAAAAAAAATATTAAAATAACGTAATTAAATTCATAATCTTTAAGCGATAAATAAAATCAACAAAATCTTACTCATTTATAAAACTCATGAATTTATCACCCCTATCACCATTTAACCTCCAATGGCACAATAAAATTATAAATTTAATTACCAAATTTTCAATCCTCCATATATAAATTACACAAAAACATACTCTCACACATTTATTTTTTGGCTACCAACAAATCTTTCTAACCAATAACGCTTTATTAGAAATATAATAATTAATTTTTTATGATAAAATAATATTAAATTAATATCTAATTAAAAAATAGGATAAAAAATATGAACTTTCCCTGAGTTTTGATAATATTATGCGAACACTCCCAAATATTTTATAAATAACACGAAGATCCCTGAAGTTTAAAATTTATTACACAAAGAACCTCTCTATCTCCCTTCCTTCAATATTATTAACGAAAAGTGATGACTTTATCCCCCCCAAAAAAAAAATTATTATTTTTATAATTGCCTTTATCCAACTTTAGTACCCAAAAAAATTAAAAATTTAATAAAATAAACTAAGATTTAATTTACTACCCAAACAATTGATATAATTTAGTACCCCAAAAAATTGATTAAATGAATTTAAATATTAATTTGATAACAATAAAAATTAATTTGATATTAATTCGACAAATTTGAATATAAATTGGACAAAATTAAATGTCAATTTTGATAAAAAAATATATATTAATTTACAATTTAATGTTCATTTCGTGTTGAATATTATTTGTTGTTGATTAAACCAACATGAAATTGACCTTAAATTATAAATTTTTTTGAAGTATATAAACTTTAAAATTTGTATTTTAACCCATAAAATTTAAATACAAATTTTTTCACACCATAGCGTATTCTTTCTTACTATATCATTTTTTTTAAAAGAATTGCTCACCTCTGCTTGTTAAATTCAAAAATCTCTAGTTCACATGAAAATAAGTGAAAGTAAATTAAAAAGTTGACAAAAAATTTTGAAAAATTGATAGTTCAAAAAATTTTGAAAATTTAGT